ATCATAGATTTATTATATACACGACACAATGTGGTAATAAGATGTAACTTCTGTAAACACGGATTTACTGAAAGCGCTTCAAAAAATTATTCATTTATATATATATAAGATTGAACTTTGATTGAATAACATTCAATCCATTTATAGATTAACTTAATCATTATTTTACTAAAAAACCTAGCTTGTTAACGACATTTAATTCCTATAATTCAAAACCACTAGAATTTTCACTGATCAAAAAATAAACCACTTTGCATTATTTAGTCATCTTCCCAACAATGTTCATCTATCTTGTAACTTTTCAAGGATCTCAAGACCATTTTGTTGTTACGGAATTGGATTGCCAACGTAGACTTAGGTTCTTAGAAGTACGTGCAAAATTCTAAAGGAATAATTTCTATTCCAACTTTAAAGCCCCAATTAGCCCTCAGGCATGCCGTTAAAAGTGACATAACTGACCAAACTACCTATTCAAGGCCTGGCATTCTTTAAACAATCAAAAGAGCATAGCTAACTGTTTCATATGTCTTAAGAGATTCCTAAGTGCCCAATCAAAGCCGATTCAAATTAATAAATTTGAAGGACAAATTTCTAGTTACCTGGCCGAGTAAAAGAGGACAGACGATATGGATTACTTTTTTGAACAGCAATAGCTCGGAAATTACAAGCCAAACCACTGATCTGATTGAAAGAAAGAAGTCTACAGTCCATTAACACCAACCTTCAATCAATTAATACATCAGTGAAAGCGTTTTCAAAAAAAAAAAAATGTTCTTTCAATTGAAGTTTATTACGACGAGGAGCTTACTCAAAGAGGGTGAAGAAGAAGAAATGGCGACGGATTGGCGGCTCAAATGTGTATCTGAGCACTACAGATTACAAAAACACACATAAAAAAAAGGGAAATTTGCAACCAAGTACCAAATATTTCACATTTTTGCAGACATTGTCCAAACATTTCATTTGTGACATTCCAGGTACCAAACCTTTAAACAATTCGCACTCGAAGTCCAAATTGATAGAAACCGTTAGTTTGACCGTTAGTTGACCAAAAATTAAAAATATGACCATTTGTTTACTAATTCTTAAAGGATAAAATGGTAATTTTCCCTTTTTTAATATAGCAAAACCTAAAATCAAATAATTAAATCAAAAACCAAAAAACCTATTGTCTTCTGACTCTTCTCCAATCACCCCACCCCACCCCACCCCACGCAAAACCAAAACTGTCCGCCACCGTCGAAGTCCTGCCACGAACAAGGATTTCGATTTCGTGACCGAGTCTCCCTTATCTCGTACAGGAGAGTCTGAGTAACAACTACGGCCAGATGACGCCGAGGAAGGTCCGCGTTCCGTTTAGCGACAACACGGTGGAGACGGGGTAGCGACTCGGGCCCCAACGCCGAACATAGAGATGTTCTAGTCTGCAACTCCAACTCTTCTTTCTGGAGAAAATCCAGTTTGTTTAGAACCAAAACAACGTCCCAATTATTCGTCCCGTTGAAGAAAAATCAGAAATCCTAGAATCAGAGAACCACAAAATCTCAGTTTTTAGGTAAAGGAAGTGAAATCGATGAAGCCGACTCGTTTTTAGATGAAGATTTGCCGGAGGATTA